TAACGAAGAATATTCGGTATGGTAAATTTTTTTTTTTCAAATTTTTTTTTTTTTACAATTGGAACACATTTTAGACCCAATGGTAGAAAAAATTATCACTTTAATGGACAAATTCCATAAAAAACGAAGCCAAATGGACACCAAACTTTCAACATTTTCCATGAAAAATTATACCAATCAAACACAATTAATTACAATTCCCAATAAAACATTTTCTAAGAAAATCAATTCCATGTAAAACATTTTCTTTCCACCCTTGCAATCAAACGGAGTGTGTGTATTATATATTACCAGTTATTCATGTGTGTATTATATATTACCAGTTAATTTTTAGGGTGCTTTTGTTTGTCAATATTTTTCATGGATAATATAATTTTTCACCTATTTTTCTATTTTTGTGATGTTTGATCGACAATTTTTTCCACGAAAAATATTTTCCTACTTTTGATCATGTGACAATATTTTCCTTGAAAACAAAGAAAATATTTTATTTAGGGAGACGTGGTTTTTATTTTTCAGGTAATTCACCCCCTCTTTCTCTCTCTCATCTACTCACCAATAAAAAATAGACAAGTATAATATTTTCTAAGTTGAAAACTAAATCAATGAAACACATTTAATTAGCAATTTACATACAAATAAATTCTAAACAATTAAATCGTCTAGAATTTATTTCCTTTTACATGCAAATTCCATACTCATGATCAAACGCATTCTTAGTAGAAACTCGTAATTAAGTTACACTAGCAACAAAACTTAAAATAATGTGCAATTCTTGATCAAAATTTTCAATATATAGTTATTTTCCAAAAGATTTCTTAAAGTTTCCATATTTCATATAAAAAATAAAAGAGATAAACGTGTCCACACTAGAAACTTCAATACAAAGAAAAATTTTGAGCAACCTAAAAAAAAGGTAGGATAGATAAACCACCCAACTTCAAGTTCGTGATACGACAACACAAACTAAATTTTATGGTCAATGGAGCAAGAATTGATTCGTTTAATGACATAATCGTCTAGATTTAAGATGAAAGGAAGGTAGTTAATGATATAATTCTACCTTTAATTTTTGGGATTTATAGTAAAAGGGAGATTTAAGATTTCTTTGAATCAGAATCCCAATTCAAATAACAATTCTCGGCCAGGTAATAAGATTTGTTAATCATACAATTTTACCTTCAATTTTCTTGATTTGGTTGAAGAAAATTAAAGGTAGATTAAAAAAGATCACGCTGTGATAAATTTAGGGTTGTACATTTTTATTTTTATTTTTAGAAAATTACCTAAAACCCTTCTTTTTAATATTACAATTCAAAAATCAGGTGATAAAGTTTACATTTCAAAAATCAGGTGGAAATTAGGATTATTAATTATAATTAATAAAATTTTAAATCTACCTATTTCAACATCACAATTAATTGAACAACGCGTGCCCAAAAATGCTGCAACTGGCCGCATCATTCCATCCCAGCATTATTCAACCTCGCCTCTCACCGAAAGTCCATCGCCGACACTCTCTCCGACGAACTTCAAACGCGAAAGAACTGACCCAACTCCGCGCTCAACCCATCTTCACTTCAACCATTCTTTCCAACAACA